TACTTTTAAACACTCTTTTAATGTAAGAAATTGTATAAATCAGAATTATTTTAAAAATCAACGTAAAACGCGAGATACGTAGTTCTAATGAGATAGGGGAACAAAAATATTACAAAAATGCAGACACTCTTCAAAAGGAGCATTTTAACACTGTGCTATCGCACGTCCCTATCTCCGAGGGTGATAAGCACATAATTTCATATTCAATTTAGCATACGCGCTCGCAGAGGAGCAAAGATAAGGTGGCGACAGACATTGGCAATGAAGCCCGACGGCTATCGACCGACCCTCGAAATAAACACACTGACTTGGTGTTTGTAATAAATCGGCAGGGGTGTACGCAGTAACTACAAAACTGAGAGATATCTCCGCGTCACGTTTTTACGCCACGTGCTGTGTCACGTTTCGTGTCACCAAAGATAAAATACCATAAGACATTTTTTAGATAAGGCTATGTTAGTTATTTTTATCACGAAGCTTGTGTTTTAAAAGGTTATTGAATATATGAAGTAAGATTTTAATTGTCAAGTATCAACGAGATGTACGCTATTTAATAAAAATTTAATCAATTAAAAAGAATAAAGCACTTTTTTAATATAAAAATAATTTAATATATATTATTTATATATTTTTGTAATTGAATTCTTTTTAATTCTTTCTCGTCTGAATATTTAAATTAATTTCACAACTTTCTTGTCATGAAGTCTATAAAACCATGCAGTATATTTATATATATAGGATATAATAAATCCTTTGGATTCTTTAGGTGCATATTTCATTCCAATAAAATGTGAGAAGCAAAATAAATATATCCGTAGGCAAGTTTTATTTCGCAAAAATATTGCAGCAATAATGCCGATCTGTCGAAGCGGCTAGATTGTGATATAGCGACTTGGCGAAATACCAAAAGTCAACCGCAAATCTCCCTTTTGGCGTGCGAAAGTTCGCTATCTCGGTAGGATTCGATTACTAGCTTGAATGGATGGTAATGCACAATGGAGCAGACCTAACTAAACTTAGACCAGGAGGAATCCGGTCTGTCTGCAGTCCATGTAAAGGAAGCGAGGGCCGCGTGATCATCCCCTCGTCACCAAAGGGCGCGTGCACGATACGTGCCGACAAAAACTCGTTATTAGATTATATGCCACAAAATTCGAGAGCCCTTCGCATATCGGGTTTGAGAGGATGGTTTACCCTCGGCCACAGGAAAATGTCCTGTCTGAAGAATATCAATCGATGTGTATCGATATAGAAGTCGTTTTTGTATGAAAGGACGGACATATATCAGAAGTATGTTGAAAGATATCAATAACGGAAGCGAAAACGGTGATCGCGAAGAAAAATCTGCCAGTAGATATCGATAGAAATCGCGATATAATATTATAATACTGCATCTAATAAACATATTACAAATAAAAAATGTTTTTGGTGACAACAATGGATTTAAGTAATATCTCGAAATGAAAAAATATGATAGGTAAAAATCTAAAACTAAAATTACAATTAATTGTATTCTTAAACAATCATAAATTTATTATATGAGAGCGACACACATTTATAGAATCATATAATATATTTATGCAATAGAGACGATTTTCAAAATTATTATAATTTAAAAAAAATAAAATTGTTCAAATTTAAACTATAATTATGATAAAAAGGCACGCTACGACCTTATTGCTACTATGCTTAAGTATGTATGTGGGTTTACTGCGTGGAGTGGCGAATTCAATAGGATTGGTGTAATTAAGAGCCATTTCTACACGATTTTTCCTCGGTAGAGCCGAGGGGAAACAGTAAATAGGGAGCAAAACCCGGCTGCAGAGGGTGGTACANNGACGCGATATAGGGATAGCGGCATTTCGCGAAGCTCTAACGCGGGAGAAGCATCGGAGGGGTGTGGCGTTGGAGGAATTTAAATTGATATCGATAGTTCGACGCGGAATGCGCGAATCGGTTCGTCACGGAATGCGAAAAATGCCGTATCATATGGATGGTATCCGCGCGATGATAGTTTCTGTTGAAAAAGATCGAGCATACCGGGTGTGTAAAACATTCAACATATTTGTTTGTTTGTCGGTATAAAAGTGCATTGCACTTGATTTCATTCGCTGCAGCTATCCGATTGAAAAGAAATAATTTTATAAGATTTATCTCGCGCTATTAAAATCATAATATTTTTTTGTAGAAGTAAAATTTATTTTAAATAAAATCTAATGTAAAGGAATGTATCTAGTTTTCAAAGATAATATTTTTATATTCTAGTAATGAAATATGTAAAAAGTTATTATCATTTAATATATCCTACAAAATGATATAAAAGTAGCATATTATGACACACAATTTTGTAAAATTCTTTATAGAAGTAATATAACAGCAATGCCAGGCACAATGTTTTCTTCCTTATGAGTGGTATGATTGATCGCGTGGCATTAATGTTAAACCCGAGTTACACACTTCGCTCCATACAAATCCCAAGCCCTATAATATATCACCGCAGCCTGTTCGGAGCAGGTTCTCCTTGCGTTCTCTCTTTCTCCCGACTACGTGAGGGCAGGAGCAAATTAGTCGGAAAATGATTCTCTGGATAGCTACGAAGAACGTTTGGCGGCTGAGACAAATCATTTATTGTAGCAGCTGAAAATCAAAATCTTGTCTATATGGCTAAATAAGCAAAAATAAGAAACCACACATGAAACTATATATAAAAATTATGTAATCTAAAAAATATGGTTTACATAGTATAATATATATCAACACTTGAATAAGCTGTCATTTTTGATGATTAAGCGTTGTTATCAAGAAGTTTTTAAGAGTTAATGTTTTTTTCAAAATTAACGTCTAGTCAAATTGTTCTGTTTATCTTATTTAAAGCAAGAAAGCACTTGTGTTTATTTTTTTCTCATTCTTATATTTATTTATATTTAAGGCAAGAAAGCACTTGTGTTTATTTTTCTCTCTTCTTTTTATATCCATATTTAAAAATTTATATACAACATATAGGAATTACAAAAATAAGAAAAAATAAATTTACATCAACTAATAAGTACAAGATAAGAATAATACAAACGATGTAGCCTTCACGAGAAAATGCCAAACATGCCCGCATAATTCCAAAACTCGCGACACAAATCTACATATTTAATGAAAAGCAGCTTATTTTGCATCAGTTGGCCGCACTTTGTTTGTTTTTCCTGGACGGTGTACGCGTTTGAGAGCCTCTGCAAACAATCTAGTCGAGCAGCGACGCGTGTGACGCGCAAAATGCGGGCGCTTCGGACCATCGAATTCTGCTCCACCCTTAGTCGCAATGCGATTCTGTCGCTCCTGCCAGACGGGAAAAAGAGAGAAGATCGTCTTTTCGCACACCCCTCGACCGGACGCGTGCCACGATCCACGGACCGAGATAATTGCGAATAACAGTACGACAAACGGCTCAAATATCAATGTCTGATATCGCGTCTAAGATGGTTTTCGCGTCGGATTCATTGATACTCGCGTCAATCGATGATTCCTAATTATTATGAGAATAGTTGAGACTTTGTTCAAGATGAGAATGAAGAATTAAAAATATTTAAAATATCTTTCTAGTCAATGCAATATTTCGAAACAAAAAACATATTAGCAAAACCATTTGTATTATAGGGATTACAATTTTGTTTAAATGGATATATTAATGGGCGTAATGATACGCAATATTTCTAGTGATAATAAAAATCCAAGTTAAACATTTATTGCTACTTTACTTAAGTATTTTGTTCTCCATTAATGTAATTCTTTTAATGGAAACACATGATCCGTGCTCATGAGTTCTTCAACAAGAATCGGAGATTATCCTTCTAGGCTTTTAACGTCGATTCGACTTTGCCACGCGGCAAATCTCAAGCTCGAGGTAGCCGTCGATGAAGGGAAACGTTCATACTTCAAGGAAAACGGTGATGCCATGTATCAATCATTGTTTAAAACAGAAAATTAAAATGCATTTATAGGCAACAATTGCATCAAATAGACAACAAAAAGTTCTGCTTGTCTCATTTAAATAATATATCATATATTTGATATACGAAATAATTTCGATTAATTCTCATGTAGACTAAAAATTTTTATAAGTCTTTTATATTTTTTTATTTCTTATTTTATACAATGCCTTTGATACGTTAGCGTGCGTGCATTGTGCAAAAAAGTGTAAGAATATCGAATGCACAAGGGTCAAAGTCTTTTCGATACCGGATATTCAATGAAGCGAATCCATCATATTTCAAGGATCAAGGGATTTGCGTTATCCCAAAAGGTGTCGGTGCTCTCGAAGGGTTCCTCTATACGCTGTCTGTTTCATTAATTGTTTCCGGATGAAACATGGGAAATAATATTCTTCTTAAATTTCGATAGTCACATATTCTTTTTTTTCCTTTGTATTTTATAGTTTCTTCGCTTTTTTTTTTTATAAACGTACTCATATTGATTTAAAGTAAATACATTTAATGCGTAACGCAAATAACGGATTAGAAGGCTGACATAGCTACGCATTTATGTCAGAAAGAGAGGGAAAATAAAATACTCGCTCCCCTAGTTGCATCAGAAGGCTGGGATCCCATCGAACAGAAGCATTAGGCCTGATCCTCGCGCGATGTTCAGCCGAGCGGATGACAACGTACTCTGGAAGAGCTTAAAGCTCTCTCTCTAGGCGCCTTTTCTCTAGCGTGCCTTTAGCTTACGCGTTATGACGCGGTCGCGTGTAGCATAATAATACTCGAACACGTGCCACGTCAGCGTTATTAATTACTTTGCTATTAAGAGCCACTTGTCAACAATCAGTGCAGCCGCGATCAAGGCAGAATGATTTATTAATTATTGTCAGTGACATCAGTAATTAATTCTTTGTTGCGTTTGCATAATTTTCAACAAGAGTACATACTTTAAGGAAATTTTCGTTAAGTCAGAAATTGTATAAAATCAGAATATAATCTCTTTAAAGGAAATTTTTTTTCTCTCGTTTTTAGGACATCCACATTTCTTCAATCAACTGTCATGCGGCCTCGATCTAGTATCTATGGCCGGTGAGTGGCTAACCGCGACAGCGAACACGAACATGTTTACCTACGAAATCGCTCCCGTGTTTATTCTTATGGAACATGTCGTCCTGGAAAAAATGCGCGAGCTTATAGGCTGGAATTGCGGTGATTCCATTCTCGCTCCAGGAGGCTCTATTAGCAATCTTTACGCCTTTCTCGCGGCCAGGCATAAAATGTTTCCGTTCTATAAAGAAAAAGGACTCTCTGCTATCGGAGGACAGTTGGTTATGTTTACGTCCGATCAGGTACGTTTAAATTTGATTATTTGATAAAACTATTTGTGTTTTTATTTGATAAAACTATTTTTTCTTTTCGAAAACTTTTTAATATTGAATAAAATTCAACTCTTTTACAAGAAGTCTATTGCCTAAAAATTTAAGAATTGTATAAAAAAGTATAGAATTATATTAGTTAATTGTTATACTAAAATCGTTAATTATAAATTTGTAAACTTTTTGTCAAGAAATTAAATCAATTTTTATTGAATATAAATTGCAGAGGATTATTTAAATATACTTTCATACATGAGGAGAAAAAAAAAAAAAAATTGTTTATGATTTGCATGGATTATTAATGTCTACAGTGCCATTATTCTGTGAAATCATGCGCTTCCGTTTGCGGTCTCGGAACGGATAACTGCGTGATGGTGCCTAGCGACGAGCGTGGTCGCATTATTCCATCGAAGTTGGAGGAATTAATTCTGGAGCGTAAGGCCAAAGGTCACATACCGTTCTTCGTGAATGCCACTGCGGGAACAACGGTTATTGGCGCATTTGATCCGATTCCGGAAATCGCTGATATCTGTCAAAAATACAAGCTCTGGCTGCATGTCGACGTAAGTGTAACGCTTTTTTCTAAAAATGTAAAAACATATATATTTATGCTGAATGTCAAATATAAATATAAATCACATTAATACTATCTAAGATACTATCTATTAAACATTAATATCTTTAGATAGTATTAAATAAAATAATATCTTTAATTTTAAATCATAAGCTAATTTTCCTGCATATTAATTATGAATACATAAAAATATATACTTATTATCAAATAATATTTTTTTTACATAATTAACTTAATTAAAAATTGCAATAAAATAGTAAATATAATAATTAAGAAAAGAGAGAGAATAGTTAGCTCGAATAGTTTTAAGGGATATTCTCACTTAAGTAGTAAGATCCCTTTCAAATCAGATGCGCTTATGCAATCAAGTCCATCCAAATACAGTTTAAGCTGTAAATGCCAAACGCGTAAGAGCCTTAACGTAAATAATAAATGCGGGAAGCGGCAGAAGTTTCAATACGACAGGCGATTTGCAGGGAAACTCTAAGTCAAAGATTAAGAAGTGTTTAACGCGAAATCCTGCATTTTGCTTATTTATTACGTCATCTTTCATATTAATTGCTCGCATTCCTTCATCAAATATTGTATTCTCAATTTTTTATCTTTTTGTTCCAGGCGGCTTGGGGTGGTGGACTGCTTCTGTCGAGAAAGTATAGGCATCCGAGATTGTCTGGCATCGAACGGTGAGTACTAATATAAATATTAAAATTTATTTTCTTTGCATATCAAGTGAAAAACAACTGTGTGAGTTATTATAAAAAATTATAAATTCCATTAATAATTTTTTGATCCAAACACATTGATTAAAGTGTTTCATAATATTTTCTTTTACTGTTAGATGAAATACTATTGTTTTATATGTTTATTGTTCTTATAATATATGTACTTTTATATTATTGCAATTAGTTGTATGCAATTCTATTTACTTCCGCGATTAAGTCTGAATATCGTACATATACGTATGGGGAGATTTAATTCATGTATTTTATAGCTTTAGTTGGGCTTAGTTAGGCTTAGTTATGATGGACTTCTTTAAAAAACGCCTTCAACCTAATGTACATCGTATATGTGGAATAAAATCAATACATCCCTTCGAGGTAACTGCGATTCGAACGCTGGGCTGAAAATGATTTTACATGAGAATGGTCGAAGGCAGTCAGCCCATAATGCATTGCTCGCATAAACCGCGATTAGGATGCTACGAGGGGCTGGCGCCAGATTGCTTCAGAATGATTTCTTGCATTAGCAATACCCTTACCGATACGAAAATTTTGAACGATTATCGAGAAGCGAGTATCATATATCTTTTATACATTATAAATGAATAAAAATATTTTAAACAAAAATATAATTTTTGAAATTTAGTTGTAATGTTGAAATTTTTAGAGATTTTTTCAACTGAATATTTGAACAGGAAATATTAAATTCAAATTTTATCAAAAATCTATATTTGCATGCGAGAAAATCCACAACTTTTGATTCACCTAGTATATCTACGGACACGAACGCAATGGAACCCTTCGAGCTGTGATAGGGGTCAGGGGTACGGACGAGGCACGTATGGGGTTGGCGAGATTAATCCACGATTTGCATCCAGGCGCATCTGCTCCCTCGATTCGACAACACACAATCCCTGACCTGAAAATCGGTGCGAGAAGTCTCTCGGGAATGATTTATGTACAGAAAGAGATAGCAAGCTATCTATCAATCGTCACTATATTTCGAGAATATTGATAAATAAAAAATTCATCTTATTTCTATTATTTATAGTAGATAATGATATGATGATGACTATGATATAAATTATAACAATTTTATATATTATCATTAAAACGTTTCTCATTTTCAATTTATTTTGCGGAATTTCTCCAATGTATATATTACTAAAAATTTTTAAAATTTAATTGAAGACTATCATAATCATGAATTTTTTTTTTATTATGTCGATGAGTGTGCGCGATGAGATAGCGCGCGTTCGCGATTTTTTTACGCGGACTGTACTGCGATGGGTACTTCCTTCCTGGAAGTCTTGATTAAAATGGCAAACGAATGGTGCGCCGAGAAAGATCCGACGCTCGAGCAACAGCTGGATCAGTTCCCTGGAGCACATTTGTGGAACAGAACTCTCCTTTTACATCGACGCGCCGCGACGTCGTGCCACCACCGCGTCTTCCCTCCGCAAGGCTGAAATAAAAGCCGGTGCCTTGACAATGCCGGATTAAACTCGTACAAAGAGAACTGCCTCTCCCTCATCCTCTGGACGGTCCTCTTTACTCCCCGTTCCCGTCGCATTCCCGTTTGCGTAGAATCGAGAATGGATGCCGTGATTTCACCTTCTCGGTTAAAGTCGCTCGAAAATGATCGCGTACGAAGAAACAAAACCGAGGAAAATCGCGGGTGTACGTGAAGTTTGAAGTGTACGTTTCAACTCATTTAGGAAGAGATATTAGACCATTGTTTAACTTTCTTCAAATCGGATAAACTTCAAGTTTATAATAATAAATTCCTATTAGCATTAATTTCTTGAAAAAGCTAATTATTATTTAATTTTTATTATTACAAAAATATTTTTTAATCTATTTGCGTTAAATCCTTGACTTGGATTGTTCTATAAAATCTATCTTTGCGTTATGAAAACATATTATGTCATATAAGAAAATTAAACTCTGTCAACATATTTTTTTGATCATTGAGTCAGAAGCGTAAAGTTTGCATTATAGAACTTTTGCACGTAGTCTACGCATATCACACTTAAGGGTGCGGGTAATTAACATTCTCTGTAATATATATCGCGCGGCTTTTGGGGTTGGCACCTCAGATGAATTTAAAAGCGTATGGAAGGGTGCCACACGCGCCAGCTCCAGCTGCGAATCGCATTAATCACTCGCACTTTATACACGCTTTTCAAGTACAATCTGCGTCTTATATACAAAGAACATTTCCTGTCTTACTTTTTTAATGAATTATTATTCATAAATTTATCGTGAAAAGTTTACGATAATATTTGGATACGTAAAAGATGCGGTATAAAATTCTATTCATTTTAATTTTTATTCATTATTAATGTTAATCATTAATGATGATAAACTATGAAATAATTTGAACAAATGTAATGCATTGCAAATGTAATTTTTTTTGCATGGATTAGACAACTTTAAAATTCAATATATCAATATTTGCTTAAATATAAAAATGTCTTATCTAATATCTATATGTCATATATTATATTTTGCTCGCCAAATATTTTATATTTTGAAAGAGATATTGCGATATAATCTTATATAAATATATTTCAAGTGATATGCTGTTCATTTTTACGAAGAATAAAGATAAATAAATTAAAATTAAAATTAATATATAAATTGATAAAAAAAAAAAAACGTTACACGAAATTTGGAATGAAATAAAAATGATAATCTGCAACATAGAGGAAGATGCACATGAGTGAATAATGGACAGCATCTGTTAACGACATGAATCGTGCTTCAAGGGTGCTTCAAGAGTACCCTCGTATCATCCACAGAGCATTCACCCGACACGCTGGACCACTGTCACGATAAACATGTCACTTGCCAAGTATCAAACATTTATCATATAGCAAGCGACATATATACTTAAAAGCTGAAATTTTATAATCAGAAAAAAAATAATACACACGCGCGCGTGCAATTTTCTCAATAATTAGTAAAAATCCTAATTTTACAAAAATGCTTAATATTTCTAACAAGTATTATATTCGCTAAATTTTATTTTGCTATTTATAGCGTTTTACTAGATTTAATTTTCTTCGTTTTTTATTTCCGCAATTTTTTTTATTTTATTACTGCTAAAATACCTAAAATGCACCACGAATTTATGTTGAAGAATGTGAATAGAGATTCTCACATTTCATAATACTTTTTCAAGGATTAAGAAGGGTTAAAGGTTTTTACCACTGGAGTGGGTCCCAGAAGACCAGGGGGCTAAATCCGGTCCCGTGGCTATATTAATAGCTCTTCTCTCGAATTGATAGACCTCTTCTCATGGCACGGAAAAAAGATAACTCATATTTTATCCCCTATTGGTTCCCGTGGGAGTGGATAAGAGTTTGACGACCAGCTGAGGTCGGCTGGCTTTTTCAGGCGGCTCGATGTGGCTCGCTTCGACAGGTTGCTGATAAGGCGAGAGAAAGAATAATTCTTTCATATCATAAAATGGTTTTGGTCCATATGATATGTAATGTTACCGCAAACACGTTTTCAGTCCATAAAAAATATATAGGATAAGATTTTTCTATAATATAGAATTTCTTTCCAAAAAAGATTTAATAGAGTGCTTCGATGTTTAGAATAATAATTAAAACACTTTAACTTAATTTTTTTATTAGTTCTATTACTTTTTAAAAGTTGGGAATTATATTTTGAAACAAATTAAAATTTTTTATGTAATTCTAATATCATATGATTTTTCAGGGCCGACTCGGTGACATGGAATCCTCATAAACTTATGGGAGCTCTGCTTCAATGTTCCACTATTCATTTTAAGGAAGACGTAAGTTATGATTTACATTAGATATGCGCGTGTGTGTATATGTGTGTGACTAATTAGATATATTTCTACTTTCATAAACAAATCTATAAATTAAAAAAAAGTTGGTAAATTAACGAAAATATTTTACCACATATCACGCAGTATCTTCTTTATACAAAGCGTTTTTATTTTTTGAATTGTGACATTTCACTCGATGTTTTTTCTTTAGTTTATTTTATTTTAGCATGACTAAAAACGCTGACAAACAAATCTCGAATAAAGAACATTGGCGAATAAATATCGACGTTGCGTCCGTGATGTGTCCAAGACGTTGCACTTTTGGGAGTTCCCCTGTCTGTTTCTGAACGTACTGAAATTCCTGCATCGCGCAAGGCCAACGACACAACTGGCCGCATTCCAAGGGGTAGATCTACGTGCCGGGGCGCGCGGCACTACAGGAATTTAATTAAACTAAGAGATAACATATGTTGCCGTTCCCTCACTTGCAGCACGCCGCTAGGGAGGGTTCATCCCCCCACGCGACTCAGTTATTGCTAACTCCGTACTTCCCCTTCGGATATTAAAATTCCGTGCACCGGCTGCCGCGAGATATCCGGGGGAGACTGCGCCATGTTTTTGTCGGGCCGCGTTGCTGTTGACGTTGAAGCGTTTTCATTAACATTGACAATCATATTGTTTTTTCTAATACAAATTTACAAATTGAAAACTGCGAAAAAGTACAAAATTTATTTCTAACTAATTGGTTATATATAATATGAGATTAAATATTCAATTCTTACAATTTATCAAGCATTAATATTAAAAATAATAATATTTAAGTAGCAATAATAATGAAAATATATAAATGGTAATTAAATCGTAAAGAATCTTTTTCTTTCAGTTTAAAATGGATTATTTATTAGAGAAATTTATTAAATATTTATTATTTAAATTAATGTTAAGAGTTTTCCTTTTCTATCTGATGTAGAAATTTATAAATGTGTTAAAGTTTGAAAAAATAAATTTTGATTAAAAAGGATAATCTTATTCAAAACAATGGTCGCCGATAATAGAGCGCAACATCAGTGCGGTATATCCGCCATTTTGTAAATTCAATTTCCTGAATTTTCTTCGTCATGCGCATGTGTTGAAACGTCGTATCGACCCAGACAGACTCACCCTCTTCCTCCTCCAACGATCTGTCAATCGGAAACCGCGAGACAATTCTGGAAGCGTTCTGTTATCGGAAAAATATTAAATGCGACCGTCTCTCTCACCGATTTTGAAAGCGAGAGCTGTTTCTATTTTGCAGGGCCTACTGATCAGCTGTAACCAAATGTCCGCGGAATACCTGTTTATGACGGACAAGCTATACGACGTGAGGTACGACACTGGCGATAAGGTCATTCAATGCGGACGTCACAACGACGTTTTCAAGCTTTGGTTGCAATGGCGCGCCAAGGTACAAAATCCGTTATATTGTTACAGAAAGCTGCCTTTATGCTTCTTCGTTACTCATCGACTCTGCATTCTTTCGAGTAACATTATACGCAGCATTGTTCTACGGTGATTTATAAATTTTTACTGGAATGAATTTTATTATTTTATTATCAGGGCACAGAAGGTTTCGAGAAACACATGGATCGGCTGATGGAGCTGACGGAGTACATGGTTAGAAGAATTAAACAAATGTCCGATAAGTACTACCTGATTCTTGAGCCTGAATTGGTGAACGTCTGTTTCTGGTACCTGCCCACGCGCGTGCGAAACATGCCACATACCGCGGAAAGAATAAAAATTTTGGCCGAGGTGCGTTTGATAAATTGAAGACATTCTGTAGAATTACAAGCAACATCTAACAGATCTAAAGATTTAGTTCTATATTCTCTAATAACAAAATAACGAAAACTTCCGATCTCTTTTTCGGAAAGGTCTCAGAACTAGAGAATCGTTTATATGCTTTCAGATTTGTCCAATCTTGAAGGGCCGCATGATGCAAGCTGGTACACTGATGGTTGGCTATCAGCCGGACGATCGACGGCCCAACTTCTTCAGGAATATTATCTCCAGTGCCGCCGTGACGGAAGCCGATGTCGATTTCCTTTTGGCCGAGATGGACCGATTGGGTCATGACTTGTAAGAAATCTGTCCACATAAGCATTAATCATATAATATGCAGTGATTAGACGATTGACCGTTGGCAAAATCGTATTCGCCGCATGATTCATCTGAACGTATTTTTTGCAACACGTTCAGAAAAGACGTGTATGCGATGAATTTGAAGCTCAGATCAAAAATTAAAATCATCAATATGAAACGTAAGATATGCGAAGGTATGTTTGATTTCAAATTCGCAACACATTCTCGATTTTATTCTTGTAATTTTTTGAGAATTAACATCAATTTTCAGCAACGCAATTTATTTATTTCGCTTGATTAAAGTTTCCATTAATTAACACATTAATATTATTTTCTAAATATTAGCGGCAAAACGGTACCGATTTTTAATTAATCTCGCGTTTAAATTTTAAATTGAAAGATATTTAAATTGGAGAAAAAAATGATCTTGGAGAGTTCTTTATACACATTTTTTCATCGCGTTCCATAACAATCTGAATCAATCGATATATACATATGTATACAGTCGTTGATTAACAGAGGTATAATTTAATTTGGTATGAATCTCATCAATGGAAAAAGACGATAATTTCGTCATTTAATGAAGGGTCAATGTGTAGTTAAATGCTTCTTTATCCTGCAGCCAGTTTGCAGCAGCAACTTAAATGTCGAAAGATATTAGTAGTACATAAGTTTTCTAGATTTAAACGAAACACACAGCATATCTCCGAGAAACGAAAGGTAAAATTACAGAGTTAAAGATGCTTCCGGCCGTAAACTATGCAGATTCGTTATTTTTCGCAGCTCGATGCATGATAATATCCATGCGTGTGATGAAATTATCAATGTCTTGTTATATAATCGAAGCAATAATAATATATATTTGCTTTCCAAATAACATTCACATAAAATTTTTTATCTCGAAATGTGGATTGCAAAAGATAATATTGTTTAGAGAATTTATACTTAACTAATTATTTTGAATAGATATACTAATTTTGAATAAAATATCTTTATTCAGTTAATTTTGAAAGATTTATATATCATGATTTACATAAATAATTACATATTTAAATTTATAAATATATTTTCTGTTTTTCTCTCTGTGACAATATAATATAATATAAATCTATAAATATATTAAATTAAATATATATTTAATTTGTTAATAATTTTTGTAGTTTATTCGATAAGAGTGTATGAATCGTTTAATATATTTTAAATTTTTATTAGTTCTTCTTATCTGTTGGTGAAATATCTGGGAATCTTTACAGTTTTAATGATTTAATTATAGTATTAAAATTGTTTTAGGTCTTTAAAATTATATAAAAATAAATTATATGAAAGTAAATTAAAATATACAAAATCAAGATTCTTCACAAATTCGGATAAAAATATATATTTGTTGCAATTTAATTAGAATTTGTCCAAAACATATCTAAAATATAATTTGTAAGAAAACAATTTTCTGAGCCTAACAATAAGCGTTGCTCTGTCTTCGTTGTACGAGTTGCAACAAAATGGTCATCGAATAGCATCGGAATAGAAACTTTCTATCGCCGTAATGCTATGGATAGATGATATGAATTGACATTGCGCTTTCCATTATAGAAAATAGATTTAATGCTGTGCATTATTCTCTGTTGGGGTATTGACGGAGTTTATAATTTATCGATTGTTTGCAAAGATAACGTTATACATGAGATGGACTGCATCTATCATATACACAAAAATATATATATTATAATTTACTGTTAAACAGTTTTAATCGAACGAAGAATACTATTTAATATACTATATATATATATGAAAAGTATAAATATATATATAAATATCAAAGCATATGTTATATATATTTAGTGTTGAGAGATTTTAAGAATACAAAACACAAAAAAAACCCATGAAAGTACATGCTTTTTCAAATATTGGTGCGAACGGTTGTCATTTGATTCGTCGATGCTATTAAAACTTTATTTATTTTTTACCATCGACATAATATTGCAATTAATGACTATATTAGACTGTAGCAGAATTGTCATAATTAATGAATTGATGTAACATTTTTCGGTATCAAAGGTCTCGTAATAATTTTTTAGAAAAATATGATTTTGTGATAATATATAATTTTCTGATCTGATTCTGATTTTATATTGATTAATGCACTTTGCTTTACATTTATGCTCATTATTTTATTTTAGTTATTTTATATATATACATTTATGTAATATGTGTGTTACTAAACACAATAAATTTTTCATTATGATGACAAACGTTTCAATCAATTCGACGACACTTACAACCGAACGATTCTATAGATTTCAACTCACTCGCCAATACGGAATAAAAAAAAAAAAAGATACTTAAGTAACATAAAATATCTAGATGTATCACTATACAAAGAAATATGAGTGTATTTATGTACATCTTCGGAACACTCATCACGCGTTTCTTTTCCGTCGACGACTGCCGTGCCGTCGTGACAAATAGCTTAAGTCATACTTAGAAGAATATATTTAGAAAAGGAGCCGCAATTAGTGCCAGAAAATTAATGAGGGATTAATCGAAGTAGAGAATAATCGATATATCCTGTAATTTAATGCCAAAGATGTTAATCGTACGTATTTAAATGACTGCGCTTGGCTGACGGATTATAGCAGGCAATGTCAATTCAATAAAACGTATGTAATGTATAAAACATAGAGCGCGTTATATACTGAACTCTGCATCAATGAGGCAAATAAAACTAGAAATTAGAAACGAAAACATAATTTATTAAAGAGAAAGTAATATCTTAAAGTATTAAATATTCATACTTTTTTGAAGATCACATTCTTCTTGCAATATTCTTTTTTATTCGTATTTTTACATGAAAAACTGCAGTGATAACTTTTATTCTTGTTTGCTTTTGAAAAAATAAAGAGACACATTTTTTAAAATCATAATATTGTTACGTAATCGCGTGGAAAAAATATCAAATATTTTGATATAGCAGTTTTTAAACGATTCGCAGCTTGTGTCGTAAACGTCAATTTTGAAATACTATTCCCAAGAATAAATAATATTTATTGATTCAGAGTTCAAAAATATTTTATTTGTGATCACTATGTGCGCCAAAGGGGAGACAAAATGTATTTTTCGAAAGGAAAATGAATTAATCAATTCATCTGACCAGCAAACCGATACCTGCAAAGAGGCATTTTATCGAACCGTTGTTAATTATTATTCATAATTCTATCGGCGTTGCGAGTTTTTTTAGTCATAGTCGTTGGTACTGCCAACATAGCGATCAATGCTATTCATAAACGAATCTCTCTCGTGATTACACATTTTACTAATTCTCGTGTAAATGATCGTTTTTTAAAGAAAGAGTGATATATTTATACGGAAAAAGTATACTCGTCCCTGTAGACTCCCGATCATTTAATTTGCGTATAATTAAAAGATATATTGAGATATTCGGTGCCGCACATATACACATTTTTTCCTTCGGAATGTAAAGTATCTTTACATATATGCGGCCAATGTAACGAATATTAGCAATAGTATTAATATAGCATTAATATTTTTAAAAAATGTACCGACTTATTAGAAATTATATAATATTTATATAATTACAATTTAGAACTGCTAATGTTATGCAAATTTTTTTTTGTAGGTAATTAGTGAATCGTATTATAAAGATTTGTATATAAAATACCACTTTAATGCGAATGAATTTACTTATTATTGACAATGGAATTAAATATAAAGTTTTTCTAATATGAGATAATATATATAAATTTTATATTTAATTCTAATTGAATATTTTATGTATACATCACATATCTAAGTATCATACATGCACATTTCCAAAAATGCACTGCACTAATCACATTTTTGTATAATGCACTCTTATTATGCACCATTTCTGTTTTTTGTCGTGTGTTAATGTTACTTATGACATTATCGGAAATATTATATTTGTTGCATCGCACTGCATACATTAAATTTTAGACATCTTGTTGCACCAAATACAATATGCTAATAACATTTATTAGTACTCAGTACATTTATTGCTTTTTTCGATAGTCTACATTGACGAGAAATACATATGTATGTAACCGAATAGATCTTTTACTTCGATTATGTTAACGAGGTAGGAAATCATCTTCTCTCAAGTCACTAATATACGACTAATATTTCCTTTACTAATCATTTAGCGTCAACCTTGAGAATCCTTGATCTTATTATTAATATTAATTATTAGTCTAATTATTAGTTTAAGTTGGTAACGAAGTAAAGTAAGCAACAACAAAGTCCCATGTCTTCCAAACGACGAGAGTATTGATTAGCGTTTAGCGAAAAAGCCTCGAAACATCTTCGAGGAGAAAGCTGTCCTTGTATACTGTACGTAATGAGAAATACATTTATAAATACATAGAGAAAATATATATGTATATGCGTGTGAGTAAAACTTCGTTGATACGTGAATGAGAAGCGAAAGTCAAGAGAGTATGCGGCGATGAGATAAGGATGATTGTTTGCAAGCACGTAATCATGTTGTTCGAATACCGCCTACTCACCTAATTGCCCTTATTATTCACTGTATATCAATGTCTAATAAACTGCTGTTACCCCAAATAATCATAATGTACTAATAAGTTTACATAATTTGTAATTTGTTTGAATTTTGTTATTAATACTTTCTTTTTAAAATTTATTACGTACAAAATGAGATGAAACAAATCTTGTGTCAAAAAAATTTCTATTTTAATTAAATTATAATTAAATGTGACGTTTCTGTTAAAAGATCTATTCCAATTTGACATAAAAAAATTTTTCAATAGAAGAAAGTGAGAGAGTGAAACTAAGATATGATATGTATTACGTAACAATAATTATTTCGTTGTTAATAGGCTTAAATGATCAATATTCAAGGAAAAATAACAGGAAAAGAAAAAGCAGAGATAAATAAAGTAGAGTTTTCGTTGCATATTAATGAATAAAACCAGTTAAACCGGAGGCCCGCCTCGATGTCGAGAACCGTAAACAGATGTATATATTATACTTGGTCCGACCTTGGTAAGCGGACAGACGCTATCAGATCGTCGCAACTCGTATGCGACGAAAGTCGACTCGACAGAGGTATTCGTTCGTAACAACTGTAGTCATGAAATCCTTCGTGAGTTATTCGGCAGATTGTGATTTTCCGATCGAGAATTTGCCATATGGAATCTTCTCTACTAGGAATAAGGTGAGTAAGACAAAACACATCATAAACATAGATCATGCCACGTATACAGTGTATCAAAACAATTGTATATAGATATATATGTAGGATATACCTAACTTTATGTGACTCAGGGAATCGTAGACTATATCAAGATAAAATGTATAGTTTGTTTTTATATATTTCTATAAAATATTTTTAAAAATGTTAAATAATTGTATAATGGAGAATCTGGCAGTTTCTTAAAACATAAAAATATTATATAATATCAAAGTAAAACATGGAACTGTTTTCATAGACTACATGTCTCCAATATCTTATAAGCAGTTCCACGTAGTTCTTTCTAACAGGTGATACCATCGACTGGTACGTTACTATCTTCCGATAACTTGAATATATTTTGTCTATAAATTTCCACCAGTAAAGTATATTACATTACAATATATTGAAAAATTGCCAGATTTACTAGATAGAAATACGAGATATTAATTTGATTTATATTTATTAATATGTTATAATATATATATA